ATGACACCTCAGGGTTGTCTGCCTCATGAGGCGGGGAGGCAGGAGGAGGCGTTTCGCTCTCCATCATCTCCGAAAGAAGATCCCCCGAAGACGAACTTTGTTGAGAAGGGCTATAAGCCGGACTGCAAAACATATGTCTCGGTTATTATTCTCAGGAAAAAGCAGGGCATATTTACTAATGTGCCTTTGTTTACTTACAGCTCGGCTGACGACAGGCCCCCTTGTGGGCGCTGTGCGGTAAGGATGCCCTTTGGGGCAAGGCCCCCTGGTGAGGATTTCTTCCCTCGTTTGGAAACCTCCGTTTCCAAGTCTTCAGGGGCGGCCTTTTCTTCCCGTGGGGGGAGGGGATTTCAGTTTCACCTCCCAGATCACCCTCCTTCGCGAAGGCATCAATTCCCCCGGTTTGGATGTGTAATGTATGAAACCCGCTTTTGGCTTCTCCATTCCTCCCCTCATCTTCTCCTGATGGCTCTTGATAGGGTGCGCGAGCCAACATCCTGGTTAGTACAGGATCCGGCGAGCCTTCGGGAAGAGGGGCCGAACACCTGATCCTCTCCGCCTTTTTTATCTAGTCTTGGCCGAGGGCAATTTTTCAGAATGATGTTGTGACAAATATAATAACAACATGTTCGGTCGCGGAGTTACTTACTTGGGTATCTGGATGGTTGCAGTTCAGACCCGCATCCTCGGTGGTGTCCGGACACTTTATTCGTGATCCGAATAATAATCGATACATCCCTCCGAGCGCCACGCCAAAGAAGTGTCGAATAGTTCGCGGTCCTTCCGGGTTGAACTCCGACATACGGAGAGATCGACGTTGGCATGGCAGGACCGACAAACTAGCATTACTTGAATCACTTTGACAAGACTGACATCCCTCTTGAGGAGATCTCGGATGCGGATTTGCAATGTCAGCACGTCATTAACTGCCCCCCAGTCCAAGCCTTTGTTGACCCATGATGCCAGTTGGGGCGGAGGGCCCGGGCGGAAGGCTGGGGCGGCTGCCCGCTTTGTACCTCGGGGTGCTGTGATGTAGAACCACTCCCACTGCCATAAGTCGGACACCTCCAGGAAGGAACCCTTTGGCCATAGGGCGTCGGCACCTGTGCTTATTATAGCGCCTCCGCACTCCGCGTGTCGCCCGTCGATCATCTTCGGCTTCACATTGAAGGTCTTGAGCCATAAGCCGAAGTGTGGGGTAATGCGGAGGAAGGCCTCACACATGACGATAAACGACGATATGTGAAGGATGGAATCTGGAGCTAGATCATGGAAATCTAGCCCGTAATAAAACATGAGCCCTCTTACAAAGGGATCAAGACTAAAGCCTAGCCCTCGGAGGAAGTGGGAAACAAACACAACACTCTCATTGGGTTCGGGAGTGGGGATAACCTGCCCTTGAGCAGGTAGCCTGTGGGGGATTTCGGTGGTCAGATACCTAGCCTCCCTAAGCTTCTTGATGTCCTCCTATGTGACAGAAGAGGCCATCCACCGGCCTAGAAGGTTGGATCCGGACATGGTTGAAGGTCCGGAGTGCTTAGCCTGAACCTTGGGTGTTGGAACTCGAGGTAGGGGAAGGGAAGGATTGGGCATGGAAAGAAAAGGACGGGTCTGGACCTCTTTATAAAGAGGGTGAATATCAAGCATCCTTCGCGTGGCCGTTTGGAACTTGCCTAAAACCGAGGAGTCATACTAACGACACGATTGGGTTACCCACACCCGTATTGATGAGAATCCCGTGATAGGGGACACGATATCTGCTTCGACAAGACATGCCAATAAAATCGCCTCGCGATATGTGCGATAGCAGGTTGAGAGAAACGGTTCGAATAATGACCGGGCCGCGGCGTGATGTCACACTATGAAAAGTTGTCTGCAGATTAGATTTGTGGAATATTATGCTCTCTATGGTGGTGTGTGAAATTTGTTTTGCAGAGCCGGACACGATCCTTGTGTTCAAAATCTTTTATGGAGTATTCAGAGAAGGAACCCGCCTTGCAATGCCGAAGACAATCCGCGCGCCGAACTCATCGACATTGAAGCCTGGTTCAGGGGCTACTGAGGGAGTCCTGGAGGGGTCCTCGGACAGCCATACTATGTACTTGTGCCGGACTATTGGACTATGAAGATACAAGATTGAAGACTTCGTCCCGTGTCCGGGTGGGACTCTTCCTTTGCGTGGAAGGCAAGCTTGGCAATTCGGATATGTAGATCTCCTTCTCTGTAACAGACTCTGTGTAACCCTAGCCCCCTCCGGTGTCTATATAAACCGGTGGGTTTAGTCCGTAGGACAACGACAATCATAATCATAGGCTAGCTTCTAGGGTTTAGCCTCTACGATCTCGTGGTAGATCAACTCTTGTAATACTCATATCATCAATATCAATCAAGCAGGAAGTAGGGTATTACCTCCATAGAGAGGGCCCGAACCTGGGTAAACATTGTGTCCCCCGCCTCCTGTTACCATTAGCCTTAGACGCACAGTTCGGGACCCCCTACCCGAGATCCGCCGGTTTTGACACCGACAGCGGGTCCCAAGCTGGTTCTCCATAGAACCTGGTCAATCACCAATCTGGCCTGCCCTCCTTCGTAATCAGAACATCGATACAATTTGGTGGCATATAGTTCAGAACCACTTCCTTCTCATTATTATAAAACAAAATGAGGCCACCAAAGCGACCATCACTTTCAATAACATGAAGGGAATCGAACCCTAACTTAATTCTCAACGCAATTGCCTTAACTTTGTTCATGTAAGATTCATAGAAAAGATCACATCCGCTCCCACCCGCCCTTGAAGATTCAATAGCTCACGTATTGCCGTCGTTGAGAGCATGCCACGACAATTCCAAGAAAGCACTTTCATTGTCACCGACAATCAATGCAACAAGGAACGACGAATGAAAAAGTTCTCGGCGACAAGAGCCGTTGGAGGACAGCAAACCCCAACTATTCTTGCTAGGGGACAACAACTCTGTAGAGAAGTCTCCTCGTCATATCATCAAGACCAACAAACTCCAAAAGACAACCGCTGTTGAGACGACGGGGAACGTCAAAGAGAAACTCTCGGTCGCCTAGCCGTCCGGAGGACAACAAACCCTAGCCTTCTTTGTTAGGGGACAACAAGTCAAGAGAGGAGAACCCTCGTCAGATCATCCACATAGTTTCACGAAGAAACTAGCAAGCCAACAGCCGCCGGCAGCGGTGCGGCCGGTGGCGATTTGATAGCATCAAGGAATGGTGAGGCGATCCATATGTTGAACGCGTCTATCAACAGAATACGACAAGACGACGGGAATTGATGAATCGATCCATTGCAATGAACACATAATCTTTTATTTTTAATACTGTGTTGGCGTGGTAAGACCTCTTAGCTGGTATACCATCTATACCCACTATTAAAGGGAATATGTATTCTTTGTTTGGTTTAGTCCTTTTCGTTTAGTTTATACACGCTAAGCAATCTGGGCCAGGTATTTGTATGTCGATGGGCCTTTTATGGGCTTTTGTTTGGTTAAACACGTGACCTCCTGTCTAGCTCTTTGATGTAACAACCAACGACCTATGCGTCTTTCACATTTACTAATGCCAACTCCCTCTAAATATACGAGTGGCAATCATCATGTTTAGGCCGAGCTAATTAGGCAAATGAGCTAATAAAAGAAGGATTGTGGGCTTAAATAGAAAATTCAAACGGATGTGGCTAATTAAAGAAAGGATATGGGTAAACCGGTGGAATAACTAAAAGAAAGATTGTGGTCTTAATAAATTCTACATGAAGGATTTGAGGTAAAAGGTAGGACAACTAAAAAGAAGGATCGGCTTTAATGTGTTGGGCCTACTAAATTAGAAAATGAAGGATTTGATTTCCGACTAAAACGGTGAGGACATCATGGTAATTAATGAAATGATTATAATTAAATGCCACTAAAAAGGATTTTACTTAAATGGAATCAATGTGAGATTATGCCCAGCAAAGAAGAACACGGCTAAACTGCAACGAATTCTTTTATGTTCATTTTGTAGAAGGATGCTAGTTGCGGCATGTTCTTCATAATGAATCTGGTATTATGGGACATTATGCTTGCACAAAACATCGATTTTCCCGTTGCAACGCACGGGTATATGTGCTAGTATTAAACTCATGTTCCAACCAACCCATTCAAAAGTCCAAACTGATGAAGAGAGACAGACAATATATTTCAATAATTGTAACAACATTTTAATTT